CCATTGTGATATATGGCAGATATCATAATGGCAAGTAATACCAATGGAATAGGGGAGTGATGAAAACTTCACTTGAATACCTGTCCCCATCAACCCTCCTACCTCGTGTAACCTGTTGTGCAGACTAGTGCAAGGGATAGAAGAGGAAGAGTCACAATCCAAAACTTTGGATTGTGACAGTATATACCCTCCTGGCACCAATGGATTAAATGAAATACTGAATAAGAAAAGATTTCTAAGTGTATTTCTATAGTGGGCAGGAAATTTAGAATCTGTTAGGCCTACTTTATGTTTTAGTTTCTTTTGGATATCTGATCTAGAGAATTGATATATGTAAAATGTGTGATTTTATGATTATGTCTTTGATAGCACTAAGAAATGAAAATTTGACATCAATTATGTTTTTGTAAGAATCCTAAATGCTGATTTTTTTTTCAGAAAGAGGCGGGGCAACCCCCATGAACAACAGCATGAGAATGGTGTTCTGCTTGCAATGCCAGATTTGAATGGTGATCTGGACAATTTTGGGGAGGAGACCACCTTATCAGCACGTTTCAGTCGCATGCTTAGGACAGTACAGTCTTGTGGAGAATATGACAAACTTACTCAGGGCTGGTTTGAAAATTATCCAGCAATGAAAATTAAAAATGCTGCTATGGAACCTGTAAGTAATTTTAATCATAATTACAATTTACTATACCTTTTGTCTGGGGTGATGCCAGAGAGGTTGAGCTTGTGCACTACAAATCAGTGCCTGAGGTTTAACCTCAAACATGCCTTCCAGATGGGAGCATAAAACATTTTTAAGCCACCTGAGAGTGGAAATGGTTGCGTAGTCAGAGATAAGAAGACCTAGCAGTGCTACAATCCGTGATGGTGGTTACACCTCTAGTGAGTGTAATGTTCTAGGTCAGACTCGCTTCTGTGATGAGTATTCTCCTTGATGTATTGGGTGACTTGACTTGACCTGGCTGTGAGATGTCTGGAGGCCTTCAAGGCTCAGAAACTGATGCTTTTAGAAGGACATCCTTTTTTACTGGGATTTTGTGAGGTCCCTAAGCATGAATGCCTTGACTTACATTGTAAGACCTGGTATGGTGATGCAGCCGTTGCAGCCTAGGAGAGTTACCACATGTGTGTGAATGCCTTTTGGAGGATTCTGTACAACTGGAGTCAAGTTCCACTGTACTGATCATGGAATGATTGTGACTATCATCCTAGATTACTTCAAATTTTTCTATCACTTCAGTTAGTCCCTTAGATGGTTCCACTTGTGCTAGAGCACAACAGTCCAAATGACAACCTTCATGTCATGAAAAAATTTGGTTTGAGGGGTGGGTAATGTTAATATGCCGTCATGGGAAAATCTGGCTGTGGGCCAGGTTGACTTGAACTTGCTGTTGTGAGCATTTCAACTGAAGGCCGGCGTGATAGGAAAGACTTGCCATGACTGCACAAACCCCATGGAAGGTGGTTAAACACAGAAAGGTGCTTTTACATTATTCCCATCGATAAATGAATGTAGTGTGGACAGGGAGAGTTACTTATTGCTGCTATTCTTACACTTATGAACTATCTAGAGAGATGATATGGAGTCTATGCAAGGAAAACAGTTTATTACCAGTGTGATAAAGCAAATCAAATGACAAATATGGACATTGGAAAAAAGCTAAAACACTAAAAACACTTCTGCACACTTCTGCATGGAAAGAGAAAATTACATTGCAAAGGGGAGGCATAGAGATTTGTCACTGCACACAAGTGTTTGTGGCCCCTGGCATAGGCCTACAAACCATGCATCCACCAGAGCAGTAGCTTTTTTGCCTAATACCCATATTTTGGGCTATGTGAAAGCTGTGAAACACATGAAACCAATAGGTTGAATTGATCCACAAATGAGTAAGCTGACAGACCATATGAAACTGTGGAACACCTTCAAACATGAATTGCTCAGTATAAGTTAGGGTTCATTGGAGACTGCCCATCAAGTAGGATGCTGAAGACAATGTATGTAACTGTGGCAGTGCATGTCACTTGTCACATGTTTTCATGTGACATATACACAGATAAAATTCTTATTTGTGGCTTAGATATAAGTATGATTTTATGAGGCCATAGTGCTGTTTCATGGCCAGAATTACTGTAAAATTATTCAGCCACCACAGTGCAAAGTCTTGTATGGTAAAAGGGCTGTGGTTTAACTGCGATATCAATGGTGTGACATTAGTGTCCCCGGCATGATAGCTTTTCTTGGCAGAGCATGATATGTGTGCCATTTGGAGGCAAGAAGTTAGGTAATCCAGGATCACCAACTCTAGACTCCCTACCATCAGGTTCTCTCATCCAGAAACAATCCTGGATGGAGAAGTACATGCTTCGGCAAATCAATCAAACATGTCTTGAAGTCAAGATAGGCTGAGTTCCCATCTAGGTAGCATGCAAACAAGGACCCTCATGGCTAGAAACAAATGATGCATGTAGCAATGAACCCTCCTCATAT